GAAAATCTGTTATAAACCAGCTTGAAAATTGGTCTGGTTCATTTTAGAAGAGAAAATACAGATATATGTGTCAGTGAGGACAATACCAAGTGTTCAAACATCAGGATCCCATTTCCCAAAATCATCAGACTGTTTTTAAAAAAAGCCCTAAACTAAATAAATGCTCGTGATTGTGTATTTTACTTCTAATGCTGCCCTCATCTTGTTTTCTAACATTCTTCACAATATTCCTTCAGACCAAAACTCCCACATAACCCCCTGAATCCAGAAGCTGAAACATAAAGCAAGAGCAAACAAACAGCTATTATGAACTGTCACAGACAGCAATATGATTAACCATGAATATCAATAACATCTTTGTTAGCATGTGGTACAGAATAATTAGGTGGAACAGGCTGAATGTACAATAATCTCAGACATCTTCCAAAGCCTAGAATTATTATTCTAGGAGAATAATTCTAGGAGGAGAAGAATAGTCACTCTAAGATGAACCAGAAACTTTATCAACATATTCAAACAGGGAAAATTTCCATTTTTCAATGCCATAAGAAAGCAAGCAGAAAGTGAACTGATAATATTCACATATTGAAGTTACTTAAAACTTAAACTGATCTGTATTCTGCGTTATTCGTAATTGAAAAGCCAGCTAGCTCATGGGTACCCACTGAGGCGTGAGATTTAAAGAAAGCTATAAAACATGAACATTAGCGTCAGAAAGCTTTCGAAGATAGCTTAACTCTCAGAAACAAAGACATTCTCAATCTGAAATGCAGCGCCTGTGGTTTTTGCCATCCAAAGTTAGATTATTCAGGCTCTAAGATAGCAATTTATTTGGATGTTATACATTTAAATGAACACCATTTGACATTCATTCTGTCCCCAAAGTGCTTCAAAGAGCTAACTGCACTGATTTTTGAGGGATTACAAAGTGATGAAGTTTTCTTGGATGAAATTTTAATTTGAGCAGAAGCCTTGAAACAGTACAATGAAATACTGATATTTTTTTTACTGGCATAGACACGAAGTCTCCTAACATTAAATTTTTAACAGTACATACTAGTCTGGAAAATGCTATTTGTATGGTCTGCTCAACCACTTTCAACAGTGACTCAGGTAAAAAAAAAGTTATAGTTAAATGTATATATCATGATGAAATAAGGAGCATATCATCACTGTGAGAGCAATAAAGCCATGGAAGCTCCATGGAAGAGAAATATAGTATTTTATATGCCGTGCTCAGCATAAAGCAGATTTATCAAAGACAGATTAGTTGACTTAATCTAAGGTCAGCAGAGGATATTTTATGGTTTATGACATGTAGAAGAGATTATGTGTTCCAAACACCTAAATTCTATATATATACAGATTTAAATTAAAATATGTACATGTAGAGGAAAAGAAGGTTATCAGGAATGGTCAACATGGATCCACCAAGGGGAAATCATGCTTGATAGCCTTCTATGATGGCATAACTAGCTGGGTAGATGAGGGGAGAGCAGTGGACGTTGTCCACCTCGACTTCAGCAAGGCTTTTGACACTGTCTCCCATAACATCCTCATAGGTAAGATTAGGGAGTGTGGGTTAGATGAGTGGACAGTGAGGTGGATTTAGAAGTGGCTGAATGGCAGAGCTCAGAGGGTTGTGATCAGTGGTGCAGAGTGCAGTTGGAGGCCTGTAACTAGCGGTGTTCCCCAGGGGTCAGTACTGGGTCCGGTCTTGTTCAACGTATTCATCAAAAACCTCGATGAGGGGACAGAGTGTATAAAACTGGGAGGGGTGGCTGACACACCAGAAGGCCGTGCTGCCATTCAGTGAGACCTGGGCAGGCTGGAGAGTTGGGCGGAGAGGAACCTAATGCAGTTCAACAAGGGCAAGTGTAGGGTCGTGCACTTAGGGAGGAATAACCCCATGCACCAGTACAGGTCAGGGGTTGACCTGCTGGAAAGCAACTCTGTGGAGAAGGACCTGGGAGTCCTGGTGGACAACAAGTTGACCATAAGCCAGCAATGTGGCATCTTGGCCAAGGCGGCCAATGGTGTCCTTTTTAAAAGAGCGTGGCCAGCAGGTCAAGGGAGGTCATCTTCTCCCTGTACTCTGCCCTAGTGAGGCCACGTCAGGAGTACTGCGTCCAGTTCTGGGCTCCCCAGTTCAAGAAAGACAAGGAACTACTGGGAAGAGTCCAGCGGAGGGCTACAAAAATGATCAAGGGACTGAAGCATCTCTCTTATGAGGAAAGGTTGAGAGACCAGGGTCTGTTTAGCCTGGAGAAGGGAAGACTGAGAGGGGATTTCATCAATGTTTATAAATATCTAAAGGGCAGGTGTCAAGAGGATGGGGCCAGACTCTTTTCAGTGGTGCCTGGCAACAGGACAAGGGGCAATGGGCACAAACTCTGGGAGACAGGAAATTCTGTCTGAACATAAGGAAAAGCTTCTTTACTTTGAGGATGACAGAGCACTGGAACAGGCTTTTCAGAAAGGTTGTGGAGTCTCCTTCTTTGGAGATCTTCAAAACTCGTCTGGATGCATTCCTGTCCAACCTGCTCTGGGTGAACCTGCTTTGGCAGGGGGCTGAAACATTCCTAGTGTGGCAATAAACTGATCTTGTTTAGCACTGCAGAGAAAAGATGTAAGCATAATTCCCTATTAAAGTCAAAGAGCAAGGGAAGACTCTGCACCTGTGTCTGCAGGAGTATGACAGGTATTAGTTGTACCAAACTCACCTGGACAGAGACATGAAGACGCTATTATTACTGTGTCTGGCAAGACCAAGACAGCTGAAGTCAGAATGCAGTTAGGAGAAACGTTAATGATCATGCCCTGAGAAAAGCCGCCAGATCCTGTTAAAAGGAGCTGAAGAAATACAATGTATTAATAATAGGCACATGATTTCACAAAGTGTTAAAAAATCCAGGGCCCATGTTGGACCCTGATCTTTGCTAACAGATCCAAACCTGGGGAACGCGTCACACCATGAAGCAAACATCCATTTAACTTCTTGGTGCGCTAACCAGCTCCAAGAGCCTGACCAGGCTCTGAGGCAGGAGACTGTGAATGCAGTTAAAGAAAGTGCCTTGCCTTCCCTCTTCAGCAAAGTGACCCCTCTGTGCTCGTTAAATTTTATTCTGCAGGTAATTGCTGACTAAAATCATAGCGTGTCTGCACTCAACCTTACTGGTCAAAGGAGGCGTTCCCTGTATTACGGTTTCTTGCTACTGAAGGTATTTAATAAGAAGGGAGTCATATCTTTTGAGACCTCCATGATTGAGAGCTTTATTAATTGGCACAACAGAAATAGAAATAGGATAGTATTGGTAATGGTTTACTTTTGAGGTAGAAAAGGGCATTTATTTTCCGTCAACAGGATAATAAAACAGTGCAGCTTGTTCCACACTAATTTGTTAAACGTGTTTTGCCGTGTTGGTAACGAAGATGTTTTTGCATGAGATGCCTTCATGAGACATTTATGAGGTTACACCGTTTTGATGCTAAGCATGTGTAACAATGTATTAGGTGAGCCTAATAAAGTTAAATGATGCAAATGTAGTGTTTAATCAGTAAAATAAGCTATCTTGAATATACTATGCAATATGTAACCACGAACAGCTTACAAAGAGCCTGTAAATTGTATTTTAAGGGCTAAAAGAAAGCATTTGACTGATGAGATATTTTTGGAGACGCTTTCCCCATGGTAAGAACACTGGCAGCTATCATTTATCTCACTCTGACCAAGATAAAGATAATCTGTGTATACAAGTAATAACAAATCTTCTGCTGACTAAAATGCTCGCTAGTGCTCTCTTCAGCAATAGGGTCTTAACTCATTACTTGTTCAGTTTCTGCTTCGCAAAACTACAATAACCTCCTTGTAACTTCACTAGCTTTCACACAACTGGAGGGACAAACCTGGCAGGGAACTAAGAGCTGAGCAAGCTCTATCTTCCATGAGCTACTAACAGAAAACCAGAAAATGAAGAAGTGCTCTGAATTATGCAGTCAGTGACTGTTCCTCCAAATCAATCAAAAAAAAAAAAAAAGATTCAGATTACTGTAAAAGGAAAATTATGAGTGAGAAGCAACATGCTGAGCAAGCAGTAAATGGTTAACATTCCCCAGCCCTGAAGCCAGGAATGAGCACCGAGTAGCTCATGTCCAGAAAAATGTATTAGCACCATCGTAGCAGCAGATACTGACACAGGATGCTGGGAACCATCCAGGCAGGGATTCAGAAGAGAATGAACAATAAAAGGACAGGCATTGAGGTGACATCTGCAGAGGCAGGAGAATAATTTCCAGAGAATTAATGTCTTTTAATGAACAGAGGTTTAACTGTTATCAGTCCCCACTACAGATCATTACTATGAGAAACAATGAGAGCCGCTTGTATCGCTTTCTCCCTGCAGGACATGTCTGAGGGAGAATAAACCTCTCTCCTTCTTCTCCAGTGTCTGCTTGTTGCTGCCAGCACTGGCTATAATTGAATAAGCTTTATTCAGACGGTAGCTAAATTTAGCAGATATTAGCATCAAGTCTCTACAGAGGCAAAAACGGGGGAGACAATACTGAATAATAGATTAAATTTATGGCGGAGTGAACCTCTGCAACAGAGGAATGCGGCACAGTGTTAAAATGGGATTTTGGGGCCTTGCTGAGACAAAACATGACGCTGCTGCCACCATCCCCTTTCCTCCCAGCCTGTTATTGTTATTATCCCTGCAATGGCGGTGCCCCCTCAGAGCCCTGGCCCCATTGCAGTGGCTCCATGCGGGTGTAACACAGAGAGCCAGCGTGCCAACTGCCGGACCATGCACTGCAGAAGCTGGAGACAGAAGCGATTAGGAAAGGCCACCAGCACAAAGGCGGGCGCACCCGCTGTGGGCAACGCGAGCTCAGGAAGTCCCTGAGGTAATCCCCACACAAGATGACTCCCACAACGTGGCGCCACAGCCCTTGCCGCCCAAATTCCCCCTCCCCGCCCCTCCGCCGCAGCCCCTCTGCGCATGCGCATGCGCATGCGCCGCGCACGGCGCCGGAAGTGTGGTGCTGCGGAGACGGAAGAGGCGTCACGGGCGGGTAGAAGTGTGGCGACGAGACGGAAGTTGGTGGGGTGGGGGTTGCGCGGTCGTGGTGATGGCGGCCTCCCCGGTGCGGC